GAGAGAGAGAGAGAGAGAGAGAGAGAGAGATGAGGGAAGGAGAGGGGAAGGGAGAGAAGTAAAAGAGAGACCACTTTTCATATTCAACAATAAAATGTGAAGAAAAATCACAAAAACCTTTCTCTTTGACAAAAACATATCAAATAAAAAAGTCTCGAAAGAAAACATAACTATTGGACACTTAGTTAACTATCAATTCGTTATTCAAATACAATATATAAATAACGGAATAACTGTTTAATTGATTAATAAAAAACTTTTGTTTCTTTCGTTTATGTTTTGAGTTCTTTATATATCAATAATTTCACAAAAATTATTATAAATTAATATTTATATATAATATATATATTTATATAATAATCAATAATAATAATAAAATAATAAATTATTATTAAATTCATAAGTGATTCGATCGATAAGACCGACAAAACATTTAAATTAATTAGTTTTAAAAACTGCCTTAAAAATAGTCATTCAAATACAATATCAATAAAACAGATTAAAATACAATTAAATTAAACAATAATTATATTAACTCTTAAGGCATTTAATGATCGAATCGGACATTGATTTTCGGATAAACTTTTAAAACTCTTTTTTCATTTCAATTCAAAAACAGATTTAAATTAAATTAAAAACACATTTCATTCAAACATAATATCTTTGCACAAAATAGAGACACTTTTTTCACTAATTGTTTACATAAATAATATATTAATTAATTTAATAATTAAATCGTGTCTTATATGTGTCGGTCTTATCTGTCCTGTCATTACGGTTGCCGTCGACTATCGGGCGATGTTATTGAGTGTCTGGCGGTATGTTTTTGGCGGCAACTGAGGGCACGGACCGACCGGACCCAACGGGAATGCGGTGGCCGTCGAGTTGGGTACGCCTGTGGGCAGAGGGGGTAGTGGTGTTGGCGATAGGGGGACGCCGTGATGGCCGCTCTGCGAGTAGCGTCTGGACAGTAACGGCTGTTCCGATGGCGACAAATCCATGGCTGAGTTACGGCGCGCGAACTCCGCGCTGAACCGTTGAATGTTGTGCTGCGCGGCGATGGCGGCCGACGCCACCGGCGAGTGACTGCTGTGGTTGTTGTTGTGGTTGTATTGAAGATTGCGGGGAAGAGTGGCCGACGAGAATGTGGCGCAACGGGGAGGCAGTGGCGGCGGGTTTGACGGGTCGTCCATCGCGTTGCCCGACATAATAGTGCCGAATGTGGGCGCGAATGACGGCGCGAAGCGACTCCTCGGCGACGGCATGTCCGACGAGTAGGACATCGAGTTGTGACGAGTGGCGCCCCGATTGGTGCGCGGAGGCAATGGGGGCGGTGTCGACGGGTTGGGCGGCAGACATGTGGGCAAACCGGGCATTGTTGTGGACCAGGGGTTAGGCGTGGGAGGAGTGGAATGGATGGGCGTTGTGGGTGAGGGACCGCCATATGTGGAACCGCCGCCGCCAATGAAGACCGACGCAAACACGGAATGATCGCTTCCGGCGCCACAACTGGTGGCCGAATACGGAGGCGTTTGTGGCGTTGACGGGCTGTGGGTTTGACTGTCGTCGGCAATTGAGTCCTCGTTTTGAGATATGGACAGAGAGTTAAGTAATGAGTCCAGCGATTGGAGTGCCGGCAGATGATTGGCACGACTGCCGCGCGGCTTAATTCCCGGCGATTTCAGTGTTAGGTCCGGCCATTTCCGCGGCTAAACCACAAAATCATATCAAATAAAACGATCAAATATTTGATAGACAATCAGATGTCTTGAGCTGATGAAAGACTTACGTATTTAATTAATTGTTTGGCATTTCTCGGTTCAATATCCAGTGATTTGTTGTAGAGATCATCCATTAGTGTCTTCTCGTCGAGATCTCCCAATGGATTCAATGACTCCAAGAAGTGCTAATTGGATGCAAATCGCAATTAATATGGGGCTAAAACGAGTCAAACATTATAGTAAAACATACCCTGATTTCTGGCTGTACTGTCAGACAGTAGGGTTGGTTTTGGTACTGTTGTATTTCACCGGTAATTTCGGCCACTTTTCGGCGTTTACTGAAATTAATCA